ACAAGGAATATTAAAATGCATTCAACACAGGCGAACTAAATAAATGCCTTCCCTAACAGAATCGAACTTTTTATATAGCAATATGACACTAACTTAAAACTGTGCCGACCGATTGGGCTCGATTTTCCATGAAAATGTGGTCCAGTCGGCCTGCAGAATTTTTCATCAATCGTCATGCGACTATTACAAATATTGTTAATTTAAACAGATTTCAAAACACTTTATTACTTTACAATAACAATTTGCGCTCTGGATCTTGGAACAATAGACTAACTTATAGTGTTTCGTTATTGGTTTTGTTGTTTTCTGTTTTCACTTGTTTAATATTCTGTTAATATAGGTTTTATAAATATATATGCGTATAGACTTAGAAGTACAATGTTCTCAGACCCCAACTACAAAAGTTTTTTGTTGGAAAATATTTTTCCAGCAACTCAAATTTAATTCGAATCAAAAATACCCACTTTTTATGTATCGCTTACAGAGTGATATACAAATTATAGGCAGGAGTCTGAACTTTCTTGAGAATTTCAACTAAAATTGGGAGGCAACACAAAATCCCACCTGAGAAGGCAAATTATCGCTGACAACGCAAATATCGAAATGGAATCCGAGGGCTGGTGGAAAACAAGCATTAATTTAGAGGCTGTCAATAATTCTGCAAATTATATAATCTATACATAAACGACTTTGGGCTAGACAACACACGTTTGAAACTGCAGCTGGGAAATACGGAAATACACATGCTAAGATGTTTTGAGGGTGACTATTAATTTAACTCATGCAAACGGCTAGTAAGCAGCTAAATTCCTTTCTTTTCATTAATACTTCCCTTTGGCTGGCTGGCTTTGAACATTTCTAGAGGTTTAAATTCATGCCTGCACATATAGTGCTGTTTAAATTTTAAGCTTTACATGTACACGCGTTCACATGCCCTCCAGTTACATACAGTTTTCTGACTTTGGTTAGGATAGGTTCGAGGTTCGTCTGCTTCTTATATACATGCTCAGATATATAGTTCGTTGGCCTGTCCACCCGGTACAACTTTTCGCTTACAAATTATACTCTTGTTTATCCGTGTGTCTGTGTGCCACCCAGGTTTAAAATTAAAAAACAACTTGTACACCTCTACATAAATAAATGTCCTTAGCCGTAAACAGGGGGGGGGGGGGGGGGAGTGGTGGTAATTGGGAGGGGAGTAGGTGTGCATGTGCCGAGTTCCCTCCTTACTGCGCCTTTGCCTTGCGCAGATAGGCAGCCTGATCCTCGCCAGCGCCGATGAACTTGGAGCTCTCGCCGATCTGCTGGGGGCTGCTCGACTGCTTGACCGCATTCTGGGCTGCCAGGGAGGCGGCCATGCGCCGGCTCTTGTGGCCACCGGGCGCCAGGTACGCCTTGTAGAAGAATCGCGCGAACAGGACAAAGTAGCTGAAGTACATGGCGATCGACAGGTTGATGTTGCGCTGCGAAATGTGGCAGGACGAGGTGCCGTGCGTCTTCAGGAAGCCATTGGCCCACACATTGATCGCACAGCCGATGATCATCTGTGCCAGCTGCAGCGACGTTATGATCATCGAGATGAACCTGGGCGGATTGAACCGGGCCGCCTTCAGCGCATAGTAGCTGTACATCACCGAGTGCACGCAGTAGTTCATCACGATGAACCAACGGGCCGAGCTGGTGTATTCCGTGTAGCTGAACCACGAGTAGATCAGCACGGTGATGTGGTGATACCTGTAAGGGCAAACAGTTCAATTAGTATTCAATTTGCAGATAGAAATACCTGTTATTTTCGATAAAACCCCATTAGAACTAATGGTAATTAAGATTATCAGACAAAACACATGACCCATGGGTACTATTTTGCCCCTTAAACCTAAAAATCTACTGTTACGACATATCAAATATATTTCACATATATGAAATATACTAATATGTGAAAACCCTAAACCAGATAAAACCTTTTCCTTAAAAGTTCTTGAACTGCTAATTACGCTAATTGTAATACCTAAACAAGTATATCATATAATGTCTGGAAATCCAACAACTATATTTAGTGTATAAATAAACTTCCCACAACTCTCTAGACGAATATTTTTACTATTATATATATGAATTAATATATTTCTTAAATCGGATAAGGAGTGATGGTCTCTATGGGGAAAACCAATAGACCCAGTCCATTTTAAAGCTCACCAGTGCAGGAAGATGAGCGGCTGCTTGCGGAGCACGATGAATATCGTGTCGCCCAGCTCCGGCAGTTTGCTGAGCACGAAGAGCCAGGTCCAGAAGCCGCACACGCGATCTTGCTCGATGTAGCTGTGGGAGAAGATACGGAATATCGGTCAGTGATCGGTCATTTGCATACATGCGAATGTAGGAATCAAGTTCCCCAGCCTTATATCAAGGTCTCGCTGGCAGGCGATGAACTTGACTATATACATATATATATATATTGAAAGGCTGGAGCGGATCTTGATGAGAAGAGAACACAATACCAACCTGGGCACGCAGACGGAGTGGAAGAGTCCGTAGTGACGCAGCACGTGAATCAGCTCCGGCGCCGTTCGGGCAGCTCCCATGATGCTAAACATGGCCAGCAAGGTGTTCCATATGATCAGCGGGCCGCGCAGTTGAAATCTGCAATGAATAGTGAAAGGAAACTTTATCAGTATAGTGGAAAAGTACCAAGATTGGGAGATCAAAGTCGTGCCTTAAAGTTCCCACTTGTGTTTCTTCTGAGACATGACTTGACTTGCAGTAGTAATTAAAATTTTAAATAAGTATTGTAGTAAATCCAACCTAAAGTTCTACAAATCTCTTGGTAATTTTATACAATAGAATCAATTGTCAATGTTTTTTTCCCCGGTATAAGTAAATAATGGCTAATTAATATCCAACATCGCAGAACCTAATGCGATTTCTTCCCTAGTGCATAATCACTTACTTCCCAAATGCAAATTCCAGTAGATTTTGCAAACCAACACTTGAAATTATTGATATTTACTCGAGGCCAATAGTAGAGAAATAGCAATGGGGTAAAAAAAACAGCAAAGATCATCTAACTCTAACTATATTCAATTTTCCAAGCCGTCCTAGACGAGCGTGACAGTCAAAGATCAAGTTTGTATTTGCTATACACACTTAAAATGTGCGAATTTTTGTGTAATGTAAGATGTCACCAGGGTCAGTCATATAAGAACGCGAAATTTTCGAGTAATTTTCTCGACAGATCCCTTCAATCTCCCAAAATGGGTAATCTTTGTTGTCAGGCCACTTTAAGTAGCCAGCTTTATTCGATAATTCGATGCAATGGTGGCTGTCACGACATTCGTTAGAAGATTACACTAGATTAGTTCGTCTCTAAGCAGAAACCAAATTGATAAGGCAAGATCAACGAAAAACGAGAACTCTCAGGTGATCTATTCAAGAAAAGAATTCAACATTTGTGGATAGACTCTATGAAGACACGTTTATGGAAAACAACTAGTTCTTCTATAAACAGAAACCCATTATTAAACACTCATTTGCTTTTGGCTCTTAACAAAGAAAAAGTTTGCTACACAGAAATACTGGTTTAGCGCTTTTATGATTCAAAGCCCAGGCTTAATTAAGTTCTTTAAACGGAATCAATTAAAGTACTGAACTATTTTAAAGGTGTTTTTCGGTTTGGGAACGGCTGAATCACAAGCTAATTTTAATTGTACCTCTCAACGAGTTCACTCAAATTGAAAATTGATTCGATTAAATATGGTTTTCTTAATCTTAATTAGTAATGGCAAATAAAGTTTACGCAACCAATAGGCTGCAAATCAAGCAGCCAACCTTATCGATGGCCCCTTTACCAAACCTCTTCACGCGGCAATTAGTCATAAAAATCCACGCAGACAATGGAATCGAAAAATAAGTGATTTCTGTTATCAGAATGTGTTGTTATATTTGGCCAACCGTTAAATTGATTGCTTTAACCTTTAACCTTTAACCTGGAAACAAATTTTAAAAATTCCAGACAAGCAATCAGAAAAGTTTACTTTGCAAATATTTCAACGGAAAGTATGAAAGTTCCGTGAGACAAAGTTTGTATATAAGGAAGGTGTTTGTTTTGCCACATGTTAGAGCCTCAAATGCGTCAACGGGTTTATGAAAACACAATCGATAGTCAGTTATTCCCGGCAAACAAAGCCATAAAGATTGTGTATTTCAGGGTAGACTAGGGGACTTTTATCGAGGACAATCAGAAAGCCCAATTGAATACGTATTCGTGCCATCAACCCCCCAGCCCACTCGAAAACCCAGCAAAGATTTGCATAGATAAGTCCCCCTGTATTAGGCAATTAAGCTGCGTTTTGAGAAGCAGGAAAAACAGGGGGAGCGGCGGCTACAGAGCGGAAATGTTCATCTAAGGAATTGAGTTGCTCTGGTTGGGAATCTTAAAGAATCACTTCTATTAATAACAATTAGGCGCACTGCGAGATGAAAACATAGCAAAAATGTTTCTTAAAATGCTAGGCTCCAAATACCCTTTAAAATTAAATAAGTTGAAATGTTATAGCCGTTACTCGTAGAGTAAAAAGGTATACTAGATTCGTCGACCCCATAAAGTATATATATTTTTATCAGTATCACTAGCCGAATGGTTCACGTTATGTGGCGTTTTAGAGAAATCTCTCGAATGAACGATAGATGGCGCTTTTTGTTAGCTGAGTAATGGGTGTCTGATATTCGAGGCCGCCGACAATAACGTTTTCCCTTGTTTTTAATTGAATTGTATTATTTTACAAAAATATTCCATTAGATACATACACCTACACAAATAAAATTGATGGTATTAAATTTTAAAAACTAAAAACTCTTTAAACCACCTGAGATATGCAGTGAAGTTTGGCCAGCAAAAGCTCTTTTCGCGTGCACAACTCTATCAGCCACCGGTGGTCCCTGTGATTCCCAACCGGTTCTGGCTGCGCGCGCATGTGCCTCAACTCGCCGACAGTCTGCAATTCGTGCCTCAAACTAATGAGTAAGGAAAACCAAACGGGCCTTGCTAATCGCTTGGCAGGTTGGCTTCTAGGCAGGGGGACGACTTTCGTCCCTTGAAGCTCAAATTTTTGCAAGGGCACAGGTCGTCCCCTCCTCCTCCGGGTGGGTGGCGTCCGGCTGAGCGGACCGGCGCCTACTTTTGTGTCCGGCGAGCGAGGCTGGGTGCCATCCCTCGGCTGGGTGTTTGCGATCTGCCCGATAAATAATCCCAAGCGTTTTTTAAAGGATTCTTTCCGATACTAGATACATAATTTCATATAAATAATAAATACTTTTTGGATTGGTAATGGGCTGTCTGATTGAAGTGATTTATTTGAAAACAATTAGGTCTTAGAAGTACTCCTATTTTAGCAAATTTTGAAATGTTGGAATAAATTTTGGACTTTCAGGACACATTTTATAGACAAGTAACTTATCTGGATCATCGAAGTAAGCTTTCTGTATTCAATTCGTTTAAATCGCTTAATAGGGCTGTACGGAAAACTAGGTTTAGGTGGTATATTGCATGTACTTGTATATATTAATAAGCATATCAAGCGTACCTGCTGCCCACATGTTTAATTAATTTACTAAGCTCGCAGTTCCTAACCTCAGGTTAACAAGTCAATTTAAATTTCAACGCGTACCCACGAATTTAAACCTTAAACTGTTTAAAATTCTGACATCGTTTGCAATTCTAAAGTGCTAACAAATCCAATTAGTATCTTTTAAGTAGTATGCGGCTTTTTCGTTTATTTTAAAGAAATGGGAAAAATTTAGGTAAACATTAAAGGTACATATATTCGAGATCAAAGGTCAAAAATATATAATATCGGAACTGCGTAACATTAATACCATATTCATGATGATGGCGCATAACTTGCTAATGTTAGGGGAAGTTGCTGAACTTTCTTTTGCTTTCCACTTGATGGCGAAAATTGCATAAGCAAAGAGAAACAAATTGGCCGGCCTGGAGAGAGCAAATCAAATATATAGGGAGAGTAAACCTGATTTTGCAAAATATGTAAACAAAAGACAGTGGAGAAAGAGAGAAAAAAAAAGTTGGGGAAAAAAACCCAGAAATGTTGGTCAATTGATTATTGCACGCTTAGTTTTCGGGTTAAGCTCAGGTTGTTTAGGTTGATTTATGCAGACCCCCTCTATAAATCCACTATATATGCACACCACTTTTCCAAGCGGTGGCACACTTCCATAACTCTGTATGTCGACTCACATAAATATGTATAGAAATGCGGTATAATATTCGCAACATTGTCTCGAAACTGATGCGACAGTGTTTTGTTTTTTATTTTGCGAACCTTTTTTTCGGCGCGTTGCAAAACTTTTGGCTTTCTGGGTTTATGTTAAGCCATAATTAAGGTTTCGCTATATATTCATTTTTAATTATTATTCATTATATTATGCGGTGGTTCACAGGCAAGCGAGATTGGATGTCACAGCATTGACCAAGTTATTTCCGAACGAACTCAAAGTGCAACGAAAAAAATATTGTGAAAGGTTGGAGCCATTTTTGCTGAAAGGGTAATTCGATTTCAGATAGCTATACTATGGCTTTCCATGGAAACGTGTTTAAAATAATAGCAATCAAGATTTTTATTGTGATGGGCTATTAAATATGAAAGCAATTAATAATATTATTATTATTTACCGGAAATTATGCATATAAAACCGACCAAAAAAATTAAATTATAAATTACAGTATCCTGTCTTTTTGATTTAATATTTTTTGTTTAAAAACTAACATTTAAATATATTTTTGGTCAATGTAACTGCATTTTTATAACATCTACCTTTAACCAACTTTATAAACCCAATTAACCTTTTTATTCCCGTAACATGTCTCGAATTGCTAATAAGGGGAAATAATTCAATTTGAATAATCCATATAAAGTAAGTCCAATGACCTGTTTCGTTTTCCAATTAAATTCCCTTAACTCTCATTAAGAGTAAGACTTATGAGGGTAAACACTTTATTAACGATTATCTGAGCTGGGTTCTGAAAGGCTATACTTAAAAAAACGTTTATAAGCGATCTTTTACCCCTAGAAGTACTTTAGATGTATAGAGCCACAATCTAATCGTCATAATTGCTTATGACGAAAGGGAAACTTAATTGTTTGTTTTTTTTCTATGCCAATGTCTGCTGATTCATGACCAGAAGTTTCGGGTAATACGCAATGACACACCTGCTGCAGCAGGTGGGCGATAGCTGTCAATACCCAGACCAAATTCAATCATCAGTAAGCCAGTCAAAACAATTTTGATGGCCGACAAAAACGAGTTATTTCCGAGGGGAGAGATCCACGCATGGAGTAAATAAAAATCGGGAAAAAGTGGCGTGATATTAAGCCAGCATCTTCAGAAGAAAGGGCCCAAAAAGAGAGAGAGAGAGAGCTTTTCTTAAAGCTCAATGTTTGAGGTCTGAAAAATGGTATCGTATGTAGGAAGTATCATAACAGCTTCAAAAAGCCTATAAAGAAATGCGGGTTTAATGACACACTTTAACCAGATTTGCTTGCCAGCTCTACCCACTTTTAACCAACTGTTTGTGTTAACGGTTGTCGTTAATTTGATGTTAATATATGTACATATACATATGGACACTCAAAAGCCGACCAAAATTAAATTTAGTTTCACTTTCAGCAATGCCTTTTCTTGACTCACCATATTCGTGGTGTATTTTTATTATTATTTATTTTTTCCCTATTGGTATTTGTAGTTTTTCACTAAATATACTAGCTGGTAATAGATAATTGTGGCTGTAATTGTAATTACAGGTGCTCGTGGAGGGTGGCGATTTGAACTCAACACGGCTTGCCTGTCATTGCGGCAATTATTGGTTAATTCGCAAGTTGTTATATAATTACCACGCTTGAATTGCAAAAATTTCCCCATATCAACACAAAAGTAATATATATTTTTCAGGCTTCTTTAGGACACTGTAAATGGTTTAGCTAGCGTGATAAAACCACATTAAAGGACTTTATTTCAAGAGGGGGTGAAGAAAAAATAGCGAATATGAAATTAGGTTCTATGTACTCTAACGTCCTCGTCACACTTATTTCCTGTTGTTGTGATAAGAAAAAAGTGGAATATAAATAACCAACAGAATTGTATGACTCAATCTTTTAAAACTTAAAATGATTACAAGTATCGCTCATCGTGCTCCACTGTGGAAATATGCGTTTCTGATTTCTATTGTAAGCTCTGTCGCCCACACACTCAGCCCACCCCATCTTATGTCGCCCCCTTCTAAGCCCTCCTTTTATGGCCACAAAACGTTTGAACACGCAAAGTCCAAAGATACACAGGTCAGCAAGAGCTTTGTTTGCCGGTTGTAAAAATTTATGATGGTTGAAATTCATATAAAGTTTGAAGAAAAACATGATTATAATAGTGCTTGTTTCCTAGATATCTTATAGTAATTCAAAAGCCTGTGACTAACAATTTACCCCTTTTTTATTTGAGATATGGTTGCATTTTCTTAAATAAAAGTTATACATTTTTCTTGCTCTTAAATGTATACAAATGTGTTACGGATAATAAAAACAATGATATCCAAACAATAATAAACCAAGTGAACTCGTTTCGACCTCTTAAACTTTCGTTTTACTATTGGCTTTATGAAAGTTGTAGTTAGTGGTCGTAAATGTCATTGTAAGTGGAATCAAGTGGTCTAGTGTAAGCACTGACCAATTGAAGTGGACCCATCGAACGAGTACATAAGTGAATGTCCTGCTGTCCTGTCCACCAACTTCAGTTCAGCATTACTACACCCCAAGACCCCCAAAATCGTGGACACACCCACTTCTTGCATGACACGCCATATGCCCCGAGCTGAACCTTGTCCGCTGGGTATGTTAAATAAAACGGGTACGACATGCCGTGTACCTATAAACCTAATCAGTTTAATGACTTTAATGGCGCACTGTTCAAAAACGAGTGAAAAAAATGAATACATATTCATAGCTAAGAGGTGGAGGAATGCAATTTGAATCCACTCTCAAAATATATGTATGTTTGCTGTACACCCAGCGAAATTCTATTAGGTCTATGTGCATATATAATGTAGTTAGAACACAAAAACATCTTCAACAAGTTATTGATTAATGCATTTGATATTTCCAGGCCATCTATCATAACAAAATCCCAGTATTGAAATATTTGATAAACCTATCCTTTACCTCTCCACCTTTTTAACCCTTAACAGCCTAAAAGCTGAGCACATTCTAACTTCCAGCAAAATCAATTTCCCTCGTCGTTTCATTAAACTCACACCTTTCTGTGCCAAGTACGTTGGTTTGTTTAGCCGACTCTCCTCCATGTGGGCAAATATTGAAACGTCATTACAAAAAGAGCCGAGCAAAGTAAACGACAACAAAAAATAAAAACTGACCGAGAGATCCCCAACGAATGTCCACCGGGAGAATTGCCAAGCAACCCAGGGCCAAGCCCCTATATGTACGAGTATAACTCATCCGAAACCCATGGGCGTAGGCTGGAGTGTGGGCAGAAATTATGTAAGCAAATTTCAAGAGAATTATTTCCACAAACAAGTTCAATCTGAAAAGCCAAATATCAATTTCACTTTTCCGTAAACCGGAATATTAAAATATTGAACAAAATATTTTTTTGGTGGAAGAAGTCAGTTCTTAAAATGATACTTTAAAACTTCCAAAAAAAGAAATTTATTATTTTCTCAGGGCAAACTAGTACTGTAAACAATGAAGTTTTCTGTTTAATCCCGAAACTTTCTACCAAATTTCACAGTAGCTTTAGTAGGGTTATAAACCAACCCCAAACAGGTGACAAAACGAAATTATGATCTATGAAACTAGAAGAGCAGCCCATAGATGGCATGTCACGAGCCCAACTTAATTTGGCCACCAAACCTGATGACGACAATTAGAATCAGGGAGGCAAAAGAAACGCAAACACCTAAACACAGAAAAAAACGAAGCGAAACGTGACAATTGTCAGCACGAAAGACCAATTGAATCCATCACAGGTAAATCAGGTAACGAGGAACAATAGCTTTGACAGTTGGGAAAATATTCAAAATACCAAAAATTGCCATAGTCAAGATCGTTGGGGTATTGGAAAATAAACCAGAAAAGTGCATGTACAGGTGCAAATGCAGTTGTTTGTTTGGTAATTGAGATTGAATTGAG